CTATCTCCCCTGTCGCAACCATAAAACCTGCAAGCGCGTCCGCAGATCTCTCTTACGTTCTCGACTCTCGAGCCAGCTTCCGGGAAGCAGTGGCTAGGCATAGTGTTTGATGCGAGTCGAAGATTCCTATCGGGCTGACGATAGGCTGACCGGTTGCGCGCCTGATCGCCACGACGGACTGTGGGATCCGGGCGAATCGTGTCGAGTTTACGACAGCGGGGTGACGATCGCATCGGTGGGAGTTAGCACACGACGGCCAGGATCGTCGGTGCGGGTATGAGGATCGATGTTGAGTTGATTGGCCCGGGGCCAAATTGGAATTAATGGTGTATGCGCCTTTGCTGCGGATTGTTATCTTTGACGTGAGTGTACGGCGGTGACGCCGAACTCTTCTCTTTTTGGATCTTGTCTATCTTTGACGTGAGTGTACGGCGGTGACGCTGAACTTTTCTCTTTTTGGATCTTGTCATCTTCTATTTTGGACTTTCTTTCCCTCGAATCTCTCTGTCTCTCTCTCCCTTTTTGAATAATGATGCGTCTGAATGATTGTCCCTCTCTTAAATGGGAATGAGTCGGCCTCCTGTTTCGGCGTAAAAGAACTTCTTCCGAAACTCTTCCATTAGTTTCCTGGAAAATCCTCCTACGTAAGGACCCTGTCTACTTGTCTTGTGAATGGTGAATGCGTATGTGCTGTGCGATGCGATTCAACTTTTCGCGTGAATGTCTCGTTTTCGCACCTTCCATAGTGAATGCATGTATAGAGATGTGTGACTTTTCAAATTGATTCGACGAATGTCGTCGGGATTTTGTTCGAGAGTACAAGGGTGTTTAGATCCATAGTCTCGAACGCACTACGCATGCCATCTGCCTTACGGGGCACGACATGAGCAACCACGCCACCAGGCGACCTTGAGAAACAAGGCGCCAGAAACCAACAAGCGGATGTGTGTTTACTCCCTCGTGTGTCAAGAAGGGTAGATTGAGGGTCGCATGAATGATTTTCGCTGGTAATGATGCCTCTGGATATATATGTATGATTGATTGATATGTGGA